TTGAGAAATATTTCTTTAACCTTCAATATGAAGATTATGATAAGGCTGACCAAAAACTTATTCAGCTTTTATCTTTAGAAACTGAAGAATGCGAAGAATTGTATCAAAAAGAACCCAAACTTTTTGATCAATATTTTAGAATGACTAAAATAGATGAACCTGATACTGAATCAGAACAAGAAGATAACTTTAAGACTAATACAAAAAACTGTAAAGTTCGAATATTCAGATATGGAAGATGATGAAGCAGAATCTTCTTATACAGCCGCTAGAAGAAGCAATAAAAAGAAATATGAGTTCAAAATGCCTGTCCACAATGGTATTCCAAATAGTGGTCAAGGATCCAATACGATCAATGTACTCAATATTGATTGTATCCAAGATCTAAAACTCAGAGAAAGAGTTGTAGAAAAATGGGTTACTGAGATTTCACTAATCTTACAGACAAACCCAGATGAATTTGAAAAAGCAAAAAATGTTCTACTACTTTTAGAACACAAAACTGATGGAATTGTGCAAAAATTCCTAAGAAACAATAATTGGAATGAAGAAATGCATGGTTCAGATCTTTTTGATAATATCATAAATGTCATATACACTACTTTCTTAGGTCTTGATTATATTTCTAATAAAGACTTCACCATTAATAAGAAAGTTGACATAGCAAGAGTTTCAATGACAAAACTCCAATTACATGATATTAGTCTTCTCGACAAATACACATGTATGTATGAATCATATCTGTATGATATTCCACAAAGAAGTGAATATGCGCAATGGATATCTGCTTACCTCATGAAAATTCCAATTATTGGAGAAACCTGTACAGACAGATGGAAAAAAGAAGTTACTGGAGAAATCCAGCAAACCAGTCTTTCTTATGCAACAAAAATTGCAAAAGAAGAAATTGATAGAATCTGTCAAGACAGATATAAACAACAAAAACTTAAAACAATAAGCAAAGATTGTTGTAGCATTCTCTCTGATTTCAAAAACTTTGATATTGGAAAGAAAAATTATAATAAGAAAAAGTATAAAAACAAAAAGAAATTCAAATCTTTTTGGAAAAAGAAAAGAAGAAAATTTTCACCAGGAAAATACTTCAAAAAACCTTCAAAAGAAACACCTAAGAAGAATACTTCCTGTCCGCAAGGAAAGAAAAAATGTAGGTGTTGGATCTGCAATGAAGAAGGACACTACGCCAATGAATGTCCAAATAGAAAAAAATACCCAGACAAAGTCAAGGTTTTACAAACCGCTAACAATGGGGGATTTGAAGCTCTTGAAGAAGAGTATGATGGTACACAACATGTTTTTATATATCATGTTGAGACAGAATCTTCATCAGACACTGATGAATACGAATCAACAACGGATGACTCAGACTAGTCCCATACAAACCCCACTTTTCAGAGAGGAGGAGATTAACCATTTTTGCGTAAACCTCCAGAAGATTGATGATTCCCTTATCATGAATCTTACTAATCCAAACTCTATCTATGTTTCTACTTTCCTTAACTTTAAAGGATATAAAAAATTTAGAGTACATTGTTTTGTAGACACAGGTGCATCTTTATGTCTTGCAAGCAAATTCATCATTCCGGATGAACTCTGGGAAAACGCTCCCAAAGAAATTAGTGCCACTATTGCAAATGGTGAAACCATAAAAATTAATAAAGTTTGTAGAAACATTAATCTCGAACTTTCAGGAGAACATTTCAACGTTCCCACTATTTACCAACAAAATTCAGGAATTGATATCATAATTGGAAACAACTTCTGTCAAGTTTATGGACCATTCATACAATGGATAGATAGAATCGCCTTTCATCTTAATAATGATATGGTAATTATAAAAAAGGTTACAGAAGCCTATAGCAAAGGAAAACCAGGTTTTCTTGAAACTCAAGAAAAAGGTTCTAAAGAAAAACAAATTCCAGGTACTAATATAACCCATGAAGGGATTAATAAAGAAAAGATTATTTCTATTCAAACTACCAGGTTCAAACAGATTGAAGATCTTCTTGAAAAAGTTTGTTCTGAAAATCCTATTGATCCAAATAAAACCAAAGGATGGATGAAAGCTTCAATTAAGCTTATTAATCCCAAGACGGTTATTAGAGAAAAACCTATGGTTTACTCTTTACAAGATAGAGAAGAATTTTCCAAACAAATCAAGGAATTACTTGATATGAGACTAATTATAGAATCAAAATCCCCTCATATGTCTCCTGCCTTTCTTGTCAATAAAGAAGCAGAGAAAAGAAGAGGAAAGAAGCGCATGGTTGTCAATTACAAAGCAATCAATGATGCAACTATTGGAGACTCACATAATCTTCCCAATATGCACGAACTCTTGACTCTTCTACGAGGAAAAAAACATTTATTCAAGCTTCGACTGCAAGTCAGGTTTCTGGCAAGTTCTACTTGATGAAGAATCGCAGCTTCTCACTGCCTTCACATGTCCTGATGGACTCTTTCAATGGAAAGTACTACCCTTTGGGCTTAAACAAGCTCCTAGTATTTTTCAAAGACACATGCAGAACGCTCTTCGAGGCCTTGAAGGTTTCTGCACTGTATACGTTGATGACATCATGATCTTCAGCAAAAATGAACAAGAACACTATGTTCATGTCACACAGGTTCTCAGAACTATTTTAAAATATGGAATAATACTTTCAAAAAAGAAAGCTCATCTTTTCAAAACAAAAATCAATTTTTTGGGTTTAGAAATAAATGAAGGTACTCATTGTCCTCAAAAGCATATTCTTGAACATTTACATGACTTTCCAAATGTTTTAGAAGACAAAAAACAACTGCAAAGATTTCTTGGTGTTTTAACTTATGCTGAAACATATATTGAAAAACTTGCAGCCATGAGAAAACCTTTACAGGTAAAATTAAAAAAAGATGTCATCTGGAATTGGTCAAATGCTGATACAGACTACATCAAAAAGATAAAGAAAGTTTTAATCAATTTTCCAAAACTTTATCTTCCAAACATTGAAGACAGTTTAATTATTGAAACTGATGCTTCTGATGAATTTTGGGGAGGTGTTTTAAAAGCTAAAAACCCCAAAAACGAAGAACAAATTTGCAGGTACACCTCTGGCAGTTTCAAAGCAGCTGAGAAAAACTACCATAGCAATGAAAAAGAATTACTCGCTGTAAAAAGAGTTATTACAAAATTCTCTGTATATTTAACACCAGTAAATTTCCTGGTTCGTACAGATAATAAAAATTTTACTTATTTCCTCCGAACGAAGATTGCAGGAGATAACAAATTAGGCCGGCTAATACGATGGCAAGAGTGGTTCTCACGATATACTTTCGCTGTTGAACATCTCGCAGGAAACAAAAACGTACTGGCAGACTGCCTCACTCGTGACTTCAGGTATGCCTTACATCATCCATGATCTCACTCGCTCCTCTCGAGCCCTATAAAAGGATATGATCCTCATGACATATTTCCTCACAAAAAACTTCACCTACAAAAAAAAGAGAGGAGGAGATTAGAGAGAAAAGTAAACAAAAATTGAGTTTACAAAAATGGAAGACCTCAACATTTTGAGGATGAAGAAACAAATGCTCCTCATAGAGCTATCTGCAATTGAGCAGAAAATCAACTTGTATGAACAAGTAACAACGGTCACCAATGTACCGGAAAGCGAAAGCTCAAAAACAAAGGCTATTCCAGTGCAAACGGCACCTGGTAAAGAATCAACAAATCCGTTGAAAGCTGATGCTTTGCTAAAAAGCATAATAAAGGAGACAGCTACTCCTCTTCCTAATGGAAAAACTAGCTTATTGGTTGATCCCAATCCTTGTACTGAAGGAATCAGTAAAATGACAACTTTGTCACCCACTAACAAATCTGTGCAGGAGTTCACACCAGATTACAAAAAAGCTCTTAACAAAGAAGCTGAAAGATTTTATGTAATCTATAAAGGACCCCATGCCGGTGTTCATACTGACTGGGGAATTACAGAAACCTTCTGTAAAGTTGATAAAGTTACTTGCAAAAAATTCAGAAATGAAACATCTGCAAGATTAAGCCTTGCCACTTATCAAGACGATACAAGCAAGACTAACCAACCACTTCTTCGACCAAAAATTCAAAAAGTCAAAGAAGCCCACAGAGACCAAAGGTTTGACGTTCCAATTGACGTTCAACAAATGGTTAACTATCCTGAAATCTCTTTTGAAGATTTCAGAACAATCTGGAAGAAAGCAAGAGCTGCATGCCCAGAAGACCTTGTTCATGAAAAGTTTTTCACTACGGACAAGAAAACAAAAAGTCTGTTCAACTTTCTCGAAGGAGCAGATGCAAAATTAGTCTACCAAGCCTTTCAAGCTGGACTAATCGACAATATCTACCCAAGCTGCAACCTTCAAGAACTCAAATTCTTCCCAAGCAGCATGGTAGAATCCATTAAGAACTTTCGAAAGAAAGTACTTAAAGCAAAAGATAATCCGATCTACATCAGATGCATCTCTTCACTCCCAGAATGGATTCAAGAATCAACTCTTTCTCCATACCACTTTCTGGAAATTGGTCTTTCTAAAGCCAATAGAGAGATTGAACAATCTCAACCAATGGAAGATAAAGATCTACCTTTCACAGAAATTCTTCATCCTAACCGCGTCAATGGTTTAAGAAGAATATCAGAAAAAATCATTGAAATTATCTCTGGTTCAAAAAAGAAGATTAATTATACCGATTCACATTGTATAATTACAAGCTGGAGTTACAACAACACCAGCCAAGAAGATCTTCGTCAAGCCTCCAAGTTTGGAGAAAAATTCATGAACAATAGCATGGAAGTATCCAATGCTACACGCCAACACTTCTGCCGACATGCAGAACAACTTTTCGAAGAACATCTTTGTCACTTTTGTGATTGCAAAGATTCGGAGACAAAGGAGGGACCCCCCTCTGAAGATGACAAATCCTCATCATCTTAAAGAAAGATGTTTCACGTGTCAAATGGCCCCTCCACTCAAAATAATAATGCCTTTTCTCCATTATTAAAAGCTTTCCAGCTGTCCACAATAATGTAATCTTTAGTGGATAAAAACGTCATGCCTGACATAATAGGCAAGGATCAGACCCTCTCAATATATCTATAAATTGAGAGTTATGTTTTGTAGAAAAAGATCATCGCAATAACGAGTGCAACAAAAACACTCTCTATCTTGTAAATTTTCAGTTCAATGTCTTGTGAGTAAAAATCTCCCTTAGAAGGGAGAGATGTAAAATATTATAGGAGTACTCCCATTTCGGGAGCTCTTTTATCAATAAATCTTTGTTGATACACGTTGACAAAATTTCAATACGAAAACTGAACACATTCTTTGCTTTGTTGCATACGTCATACGCTAATTTTTGTTTCATAATCCTTTGTATATATTTTGATACGAAACAAGTGCAAGTTCTCTTCCAAAAAACTATTTATCAATATACTAAAAATACTTAAGGAACAACATTTATGAAATTTGGTAACCGCATCAATCATCATATTTTGTTGTGATGTCATTTCATAATTTATCGATTTTAATTTTTGATAGTTCGGTTTATAATAAACATTAAACGCACATGTGAGTGTCCTCTTTGACATCTACAATAGTACCTACTTTTGAAAAGTACCAATAATATATTGAATTGGTTCTCCATTCGATTCCATTTTTAAAAGAAAAGAAAAAGAAAATTCTGGACAAATTTGTGTCGTATTTTAACAAAAAAAAAAAAAAAAAAAAAACTAGATACTGATGAGTTAGTTACACAGGAATCGCTAACCCCTTCTTGGCCATTGTGTCCAGAACATCATTCAACGCTTGACAAAGTCCAAAAATCTGCAAAAAGAAAATTAATAATCACATTTTCAAAACATCAAATTTAACGAATAAAATAGTTGCCCTTATTTATTTTAATTTTTTCTCAGAAAATGGTTAATTACAAAAAGAGAAATGACGTTTTAAAAATATTTAAAAAAAAAAAAAAAACAATTAATCACCTGTTCATCCCATTGCTGAAGTTCTTCATTATCATCCTCGAAATGAATAACTGCTTCTACCTGATATATGAAAACCACAACACGACTCAGCATTCATTTAAAAAAAAAAAAAACAAAGCTATTATGAAAAAAAAATTAAAAGATGTTGGTAGAAATTGATCACTAAAAATACCTGATCTATAGACCCCCTCATTCTATCTTCACAAATCATTCTTGATGCAATTTTTTCTGCCTGCAATAAACTATCATTTACTAAAAAAAATACAAGAAAATAAATTTGTTAAGAGATAAAACTTGAAAGCATACCTTATGAGGAGCAATGCCCAGTAGTGTGCCAAGCTCACCAAAGCTATTTCAAACACATAATTTGGAAGTTAGCCACACAAACACAACAATTTAAATGCTAATACTAAGTTTATAAACTTGATTTCATATTGTTTTAATCATTGTCATAAAGTTTAAATGCACATAGAAAGAAGAAGCAACAATAGTGATAGTGGCATACCTTATATTTGTATAGAGCTTGCTTGCACTCAAGAGATTATGTTCAATCATTGCACGATCAAGAACAGTAACATTATCTGGTAAAATTGCTTTCTGTTGAAGAAGTAAAGATGTTAGAAATGATCACAATTAAGATTTAACCAAGTTAATAATTGAAGGTGTTAATGGTAGTACCTGATGTGCTTTCAGTTCTTCAGAAAATGCATCTATCTCAGGTTTCCTCAATATTCTTTCCAAATACACCTGAAAATCTCAAAACCATTTCAAGATTATCAACTTTAACTTCAAATAATACCACCAATTTAATCTGTGAGACAACACCAATACCTTTTGCAAAATTGGATAAATTTTTAACCTTGAGCATCGCTCATCCTTCAAGAGATAAAACAAAAGTTGTGTTTGTTAGGGGCCAGATGTCATAAATCATAATAGATAGATTAATATTAGGGGACAGGTGTCATAAAGCAAAAGTAATTACTTTGTACAAAGTTGCAAGAACACGAGACCGCTGAGGACCAGCAGCAGCCAAAATTGTGCAGGTCACTGCAGCAGCTAGAGCCTGTTCAAGTGCATCTTCATCAATCACTCTGTTACAAAAAACAATTCAAAGATATAAAAACTAAAGATTTATACAGAAAAATATCACAAAAGTGAATACTTACTCATCTCCAATTTGGCGCTTTTCAATTTGTGAAATGTCATAATAGCGAAGTGCAGCTTCCAAGAACTTCCTTTTTAAATCAAGTATCCTTGCATAACAAACCTTAAACAAAAGAAGGAAAATATAACAATAATCAAATTTTAATGTAATATAAATGAAGCCTTGTTAGGAATTCAAGTTAAACTAAAGTTCCAGCACTCTTCTCAACCTTATACTGTAAATTCAATACTTCATGCTGACTGTTGCTAACCAAAAAAGAAGCTTTGTTGATAAAAGCCTCTGCATTCACAGCATCATCATCCTGCCAAAATACAGTTACATAACAAATCCATTTGTTATAAACAATAAGACAAGTAGCTTGTGGGAAGGATCATCAACTTTTCTTGTAAAAATATAGATAGGGTTGCTAGAGCAAATTGAAAAACGCCAAGATGATAACTATTCAAAACAAACAGTAGCAATGTAATGCAAAAAATGCAATAATAAATAACTATTAGTTCTTCCCGTTAGTTAAATGATACCTCGAGGTATAGACGAGCAATTTGCACACATTTTGTCAGCCTAAACTTATCATCAATCACTCTGCAAAGATGAAATAGGCAGAGATTAGTCTAAATTAACATGAAAAAGGGTAAGGAAACAAATACAAGTGCCAAGTAGAAAACATGAAGTACTAACTAGACCACAATCAGTGAACTTCAAATAATACCGATTTTATAAATATTTAAGAATGGAAGAAAAGGAAGATCCATTCTAGATTGAAGACAGATATACACGAGAAGAAACCATCATTGTCACAAGGCAACCTTTCTCTATATTTCTAATTACTCTTCTACTTATCAAATATGTGCATGTCACAGTTGCAACGGTCTTTTTAGGGGAAAGCTTGTGAGCACAAGCAACAGTAGTTACATCTTGTTTTTGTTAGTATAATAATGGATTATACTATGGAAATAATGTGAGAGTGAATTGACATAACATGGTCAAACAAAATTGTTGGCATGTTGAAGCATCATTTTCAACAGAACCACTTGTTAAATATTCCCTATCTACCATTAGCAAAGCATTATTTTGTTTTCCAGAAGATAAAGTTTAGTGGGAAGACTGGTTTTGAAAGAAAGACCTACAACTGGTGATTACCAGGCATCAAGGAGAAAGAGTAGGACAAGTAGTAACTAAAACAGAACACCTGAGTAACTCAAATGATCTCGTAGGCTTTATTTTGATAAATAATGCTGACTTTTTTCTATCCTTAGCATGAATAATATTTGGATATCCCAGCAAAAGATAGTTTTGTTAAATAAAACACATGTAGCACAATGATAGCAGCATGTGAGTTTGTCATATATAGTAAAAGATAACAGAATTTTCATTCTCTCCTACCTCATTCCAGAGTCAAGATCGATGCCACTGAGCATCTGTGCTGCTTTTGACCATAGCTGTTCTGACTCATACAACTCTGCAAGCTTCTCTCGAATAACAAGAACCTGCAAGTTGCAGGGTCTATATGAAACTCTTGTTGAAATATGAATCAATTCATAAAATGCAGCCAAAAAACTGCTCATTCTGATATGTATAGAAGTCCCAAATGAAAGTAAACCACTAAAGGATGTCATCTTATAGAGCCTAAAGAGACTATCTTAGTTTATAATATAAAAAGAGCTAACACCATCTTCGGATGACATATAGAATCCTATTCACAGAATTGTTGTCACCTCCCGAAACCAATGTACTTTATCTCTACTTCAAAACACTCTAATGCTGCTACTGAACTATGCATAGATGATAGATGATTGATGATTTAGTATGAAACAAACCTGTTCCTCAAATGATACAACACGAGGCTGAATCTGATGAAGCGTGTAATGAGCGATCTCCTTTTGATTCTCAGGCTCCAACCTCCCCAACTCTTGTGCAAATGTCTGTAGCAGCTGTCTTGATACAACCAACGGAACATCATCCGAAAGAACTGTCAATTCAACACAATAATCAATAAATAAAAGAACATACGTATACAGAAAATTACACAGATTGCATCATCATCTGTTAGATAAAACCCTAACTGTGATCAATGAACTTTTTGGCTTGTACTACGTCGTTGGACGCGATTACTGATGAAAGAATATGTTTGTATTCTTCAATCTTTTGGCGTTGATCGCCGATTGCGGAAGCACTCGCGAAGGCACTCTCCATTTGCACGGAGGTTTGGGGGTTCGAAGTTACTGATTTCTGGAACCCTACAAATTTGCGCAAACCAGAACCGGGTTTTAGGAGCTCTTCCGCACTCCTATAAATTTAAAAGAAATAATTTAAAAGAAAAAAGTGAAATAAGATATTGTTTACTAACAAAATAATCAACTTTTCTATTTCATAAAATACTCATTAAGGCTATGGTATCATAACACAATAATATAAAAATTAGATCATTTACTCTAAAAAAAAAAATATGCCACACTATCACCTCAAATCATTCTTTCTTTTTTTAATATAATAATAATATTAAAAAGAGACGACAGAAAGAGATATATTGATAGATAAAGAAAAAGAGAGTGAATGAGAGTTACTATTTAACCCACTTCCACTGCACGTCAATATATCAGATAGGGGGTGATGTTCACATGTTATAACTTAGTCATATTAACATAACGTATCGTGCATCATAACCATACCACATAACCTAATTTTGCAATGATCTTTCATTAATTTGTATATGTCTGAGAGCATCCATAATATGTGACTTTTTCTTGAAGTTTTTTTATGAAAAAACTTGTTTTATCTTAACAATTGAAAGAGCTTTTTTTAATTTATATTTTATGGGATTTTAGTATAAGTTATGTATTTATAATTGGTTACGCACTTTAAAAATACACCTAAAAAATTTCATATTCGGGATGCTTTAAAATATTCCACAATGTTTAGCATTGTGCATAAATTTTTTTTTCAAAATTTTGACGTAATGTAATTAAGTTTAGTAATTGATATTGCAAAATGCGAAACTGTCAAATCTTCGAACACTTTATATTCTCATTTCCAATAACTTTCAAACATATTTTTTCTTAATCAAGATAGCGACATATTAAGAGTATTTTCTCCTTGCGGAGAGTCGTAGAAGACATCTAATCTAATATTTAACATTTATCTAATTTAAAAGAGTGCATAGTGCACAAATTAACATTGTTAATATCATACAAGATTAATAGATATTGACTTAATTAAATTAAATTAGTAATGTAATGTAAATAGTCATCACAAAACAAATGTTTAGACATTGTTTACATACTAAATCATCCCGAAAGTCTCAGGTACATTGCTCTTATTACTTTTTTTATTTTTCAACACTAACTTTATTATTTCTTCAAAAAGAACTCTTGTTAGCACCCTTGAGTTGGAACACACTATCCCGTCCCAAGAGCATCATAATTCATATAAGATATAAATAAACTATACAATCCCCGCTAACAATATTTGGTATATCGCTTATATAAGAATTCAATGTCTACAAGGAGCCTACTCTACATAAAAATAATAGTCTCATATAGTAATTACTCATACTTGAACCCTTGACTGTTTCGATATATATACCAGCATTAAACAGTCGTACTACTCCATGGGGCTCCTTAATATTAGAGTATATTCTCAAGAGCACACTCCTAAATGAGTTATAGTTATCTTATTTGTAACACGTTAATATTAATACAAAGTACATCGAAAAAAAAAAAAAATCTTTCAAACCAATATTGTAATTTCCATACTAACAAAAATGATACATATAGTATATCGTAAATACCATATATACAACAAAGTTATGTGATGGCAAGTCGGGTGTTACTTTTTATTTCATTAAACTACAACAAATGCTACAAACAAGCATCTTCTAAGTCTTAACATTCCATTTACTAGCTAACATGGATCCTTGTCTATATTGTAAACACATTGTTCTTCAAGACTTTCTAAGCCTTTATAAGGCCCCTTATGTCCCCAAATCATAAAAACATATTTGAAAAATATACTTTGGTGTTGAACAAATTTAGGCAATGTACTTGCATTTTTTGCCATTTCCTTATAAAACAATTCCTTAATCACAAGTTTTCACCTGTAACAATAAGTACACCATAAGAACTTCTTTGTATTACTTATTCCAAGGTAGAATATGATAATTAATAATATGAACAAACATTTCCAATTGATAACACATAGTTTTTTGTTTCTTTAGTTTAACTCAAGCTTACCCTTCATGTTAAGGACAACTTTCGACAGGTACTCCAACATGCTCCAAACTAACAACATATACAACCAAAGTAACTTTTTAGAGTGTTAATAAACCAAGTTTACAAAATTACAATTGTTACAAGTGATTAATCTAATACACGATTTGTAGCTTACTCTTATAAAAACAAATGGGACCATGCCTAGTCCTTAATATGAAATCGGATTTTTTTCCCAAAAGAACAAAAACAGACTCCAACATATACATAGACGAATAAGATCAATATGGGACAACTAACAACCTTCATCCGCTTCATTATAAATAAAGTTGCAACAAAAAAAAGTCAAACAATCTTGTATACTAAAAGTTCCAATAAATACCGAATACAAATTACTAAAACAACAGTAAAAATATAGTTCCACATGCAATTTAACCTTATTTACCTATGAATAACAAGTTGTTGAGTTCAAAAGATTGTATGATCAACATTGAATTCCTATACTCTTCCTTGGATCTTTAGAGGCTTCTTTGGGATCTTGAAGGCAGCAAAAACAGATTGACTAAGCTCAACTACACTACTTTCTTTATTACCAACATTGGTTTGCACAGAAGATCGCTTCAGCATCTCAAAAAATGAAGTGCTACTGTTACTGTTACTGTTTTCATTACTTGATCTGACTTGTGACTGTGAGATGCTGTACTTGGTTGTAACTTTCTTGGTTTGGATTTCCTTTGTTGTCTGCATAACCCAACAATCATCATTACATTATTCATTATTTTATTGAGATAAGGTAACATCATTTTAAATAAAAATACTAAATCTTTATAGAGATACTTGAAACACTTACTGTATCTGAAGCATCCTCTGAAATTGACATTGAGCTTCTGCTATTACTGTCATCTCGTCCAAATATATATGCTCGATTGGGACCCACACCGGATCCTTGTTTCAGTTGTTTGGAGGAAGTTGGAACAGAATGGCTTGACACCCGACTCAAGAAAGATGACTGCAACAATTATAAACTTCATAACTTATTAATGAAGTTAAATTTGATTATAAAAAACTATAAAAAAAGTTTAGTTTACCTTAGAAGAGCTGTTGCTATTCCCTCCTATTGTATCAATGAATGCTGCAAAAAGTATCAATTAAGGCAAAATGACAAGATTTTAAAGTAATCAAAGTACCCACTCACATTCACAACTTACCTGTTATCTTAGCCTTCTTGTGTGCATCAGGCACTGCATTTAGTTTCTTTATACGACAAAAAACTTCCCTTGAATCATCATCCTCATCAGGTGACACTAATTTACACTTTTCTTCCTATTCAACATACAATATGAGTTTAAAATTTAAATGTTATAACAAAGATATATAAGATTTAAAAAAATAATAATAAAATACTAACAGCTTTGTTGAGCAGCCGCTTTTTGGCAAGTATCTTCTCTGTTTCCTCATCATCAGATGATGAAAAAGCTTCATCTTTATCAAGAAACATCTGAGCAATCATTTCTTTTGCTTTTTTTGAATTTAATCGAGGAACACGTGGGCGTACTTCATCTTCATCTTCTTCAACATCATCATTCAGATCTACATCCTCTTCACCTTCCTTATCATCATCATCATCATCATCAAGTAAAGATCCCTCTCTGAGTTTAGAAGCAACATTTAGTCTTCTCAAAAGATCATCAGTTCCAGCTGCATCTTTTTCTTCAAGCCATTTTTGGTGAAGTTCATCTCGGGTTTCTTTGTCAACTGGTTTTTCTTTATACCCAGTTACTATCATCTCTCTCAGTTCCTCAATGTCATCAGCATCATCTTCATTTTCTTCATCGTCTCCAAACCGCATTCTGTCATTGTCACTATCATCTTCTTCCTCAGCCTCATCATCAAGAAATGCTTTTACAGGAGCTCCTTTTGGAGAAGAACCCTCTTTCACATATGGAGCAACATTCTCCTTGTCATTTTCTTCTTCATCAGAGCTGAAATTTTGGAAAAGAAACACATATTTAGATGGTAATTATTAGACACAAAAAAATTGACCTTAACTTACATATCATCAGGAACAGAATCGAACTTTAATTTCATTGTTAGCAAAGAAGGTTCCATTTCTTCTTCTTGAGAGCTAATAGTATGTTCATCAGGTTCCTCATCTTTAGACTCAGTGCTATCACTTGTTTGGGAATCACCAAAAAGATCCTACATTTAGCAAAATAATGAGCATACATGGACAAAAAGGTTGAATATAAGTTGCGTAAAACATTTTTCTCAACAGAGATAGAAATTCAAAATAACCTGAGTATCATCAACTGGAGCCCGAAGAACAGGTGTAGACTTGTCATCCAAAGGCTGTAGCAACGTTAAAAGATATAATCATATGAGAATCTTTGATACAAAATATAGTTTTATTTTCATAACTGCATACCATTTGGGGAGAATCATTGTCATGGGTCTTCTGTTCTCCACAGACATCAGGTCCATCCATATCAATATCATCTTCTTTTGGGCCACTTAAAACTTCATCTTCTTTCACAGACTCTGATAGGTCACCAACTTCTATTTCCACATTCTTGGAATGATTTGTGGTCTGTTTCTGACAAGCATCATCTTCCTTGACAGGATCATCACAATTAGACTGGGAAAACCTGCAAATTTAGAATAAGAAAAGGGTATGAAACTAGGGATATAGACCACATGTACCATATATAATAAATCAAGATAAATACTCACTTCTTTGACACCTCAAGCTTCCTTTGTCTTATTTTTTCCAAAATGGATGATATGGGCTTTTGCACAATTGGTACTGGTTTAAACGAAGCACCTCTAGTCTCTAACAGATGAGATACATGGAATACAAATCAGAGCGATGAAAAAAATTATATAGAATGCATTGTTACCATTAAGAAACACCAAGTGATAATATATGATTAAAACAAGCACCTCTTAAAAGTCTCTGAGATTCAGCATGAAGTTGTTCTAGATGAGCTCTCCTTTCCTGTAGATCCAATAAACAAAATCACCAACAGGGGGATATGAAACAGCTCAATGCAAAATAAGTAACTGTGTTTTTT